GCAAGGCATGTTTAAGTATAAGGCCTAACCCTAAACCCTAAACCCTAAACCCTAAACCGCCCAAATGATCTCGGTCGGCTTAGAGCTTGCTTGCTCTTAGACCTGTGGAGGCCTACAGTCCTCCACAGAACATGGAAGTTTCCCTAAATTACTGTTCCCAAAATGGGGGAAATTTATATAGGGCCCCGTATTATAATAGGAACCTAAGTATAGGACCCCGTATTAACAGTAATTTAGGACAATCCCCACATGACCTTCAAGCCTTAAACTTGCAATCATCAAAGTCCCCAAGGTAATAAACCCTACACACCCCAAAGCTTCGAAGAAGAAGCAGCTTTAGAACCCGCAAAAAACCCTTAGAGAGCAAAACCCTCAGGAGATTTCCCTCCCGCCTTCGCGAAGCTTCGTAAAGCGTCTGTTCCGCCTCAGCAGCGAGCTTCACCGCCTGCTGAACCTCTGAAGGCTGAACTGACGCGGAAACTTCTTGGGGCTTCTGGCGTAGGATTTTAGGCTTCACAGGGTATATAAGGGATATATTGGGATAATGGAAAAGAAAATGGAAACTACCATTTTGGGCTTAGGGGAAGAAAGCGGGTTTAAGCGGAGTTCGGGCTCAGGCTTTAACCTTTTTCCCGAGCGCAGAGGCCTGAAATAAATGGAATCATGGAAAACCACATGAAAAATCGGAAATTGAAGCGAAACCCAAGATCTACAGGGATATATGGCGGGACTGGCTTCGGAATTGGGATAAGAGGTAAAGAGGGCTTGGGGAATCACACGCTGTTGTTGAACAGATGAAGGCACTCGTGCTTTACAGGTTGTCATACTATCCCCAGCCAAGACCTTCTGAGTAACAGACTAGGGTGAGTAGGGTTTAGGGTGTGGAACCCATAGACACGTTAAAGCACCACACAGCAACACCTCGGCCATTTGTCTAAAAAACACCTAAGCTCCTGAGCCTGGACCATATAAGAACCTTAGCCAAGTTCAACAACACCACTTGCATCAATTACCTGCATTTTTGCTTTTTTTGCATGACACGGTTTCCATCCCAGATCTGCCAGTGTCGTGATATCTGGGCTTCAATCCTGTCATCCTAGACATGCCCACAAACTTCACATCCCGGACACACGTCAATCCCTACCCACACAGACTCTGAGGCCATGTAACCAGGTTACTGATTATAACTTACTACTGTAGCGGGATCATGGGCAAGGGTACGAGAACTCAAGGCACAAAAAAGCCTTTGTGGGGTTTACCTCGTGGGTTCCAGATGTCGACATAGACTGTAAGACTGTAAGGACATTCTTGAATCCGTCTGAGAGATGTTGGGTTTCGAGCATTCAGAGTTGGCACATCTAAAAGCCAAGGCCACCTGCACTTATGCTAATGTATGGACCCCAAGAAAAAGAACCGTTGTTTGGAAAAACTCCCATGTTCATGGACCGGCTATTTAGAATTTAGAAATCCCCCAACCCTCATGCCCCCTTAAACGACGGAAACCACCAAAGTACCTTAATTGAACCACCGCCTCATTGCCACAATCCACTGCAAGATAAACATGAAGCCCGCATAAATCCTCATACCCTGTTCTAAAACAAGAAGCAAGAAACTCCCCTAAACAACTCTAAAACTCAACCTCTAAGCCCCGAGTCGTAGGGTGCTCTTTGTTGACTCATAATCTGTAAGCCTGTCCTCCTCCCCCCACCCATATACAGTCTATAATAAGGCTCATATTAAGGGCTCTATATAGTATGTAACTATATTATAGAATTACTTATTATCCAACTATTAGTGAGTGGGGGGATGTACCCAACCCTAACCCCCAAACCCTAAACCCTAACCTCCAAACCCTAACCCCTAACCCCTAAACCCTAAACCTTAAACCCTAAAGCCTAAGCACCGTGCGAGGCGTGGTTTTCGTCTTAACTCACCTAGAAGGACCATGGGATTTCATGTGAGCCGT